TAGCCGTTACTCGGCAACGACGCCAAAAACTTGATGCGTGTAAATAGCTACACCTAATTTACCTACTATTCTACTAGCTATTCGACCCAGGGCAGTGTACCCTTTCGCAAATAGTATAACACAAAAGTCGGGTATCGATCTCAAGGAACGGGATTAATTATTTAACCTACTTACTATTAAATTAACCTAAAATTCTAGCAAAACTAAATTGGGTTTTATCTAATTTTGCAAGTTTAGACAAACTTAAATTCTCAGAAACTATTCAATCAATTATTAAAAACACTTCTGTTAGTTCGAATCCACTTTCCCTCAATGGTTTAGCTATTAACTATGACAATTCTCGTTGGTTACCAATTAATGTATTATTAGCAATTCAATTCCAAATTTACTAATATTGAATTAATTCATGTAGAGCTATGCATGGTCATACATAATTTATCACAGAATCAATTATTAAATATGATTGGAGCTATGTAAAAATTGAGTTAACAAACACAATTATGGTCATAATATGAGTTCTCCAGCACAGCCAAATTCAATACTTTAATTACTTATCTAAGATTGGTTCGATTTTAGCTCTAATAATCTAATGGTCACTAAATTACTAGGTAATCAAATTCATGCAGATTAATGGTCACTAAGCTACACAAAATATGAATTAAAGCAATCTAGTATCAAATTAAGCATGCTAGGTATAAACAATCTAACACAAGACATTAACCAACTAGAAAAGTCTAAATTAACACAATCAAACCATGAGTTCCAGCTTCATCTAGCTAACAGAAGCAACTAGATTTAGCTACTCATAGAAGAAATCAAACAAGTAGACTTCATAATTAAAAACATAGTAATGTACCAAATTAAAAACTAAATATGATATTCTTCTTCTTCCTTGGTGTTATTACCAAGTTTATGGCTTCTATTCCTCTGGAAAACGAGTTCTGGACTCTTAATTTTCTTCAGCCCACCTCCTAAAATCATGAGGATCAAGAATATATATTTTTCCGAATTGACTCTCCTCACGTCGTGAGAAAGGTATCTCACATCGTGAGCTCGATAGTAATCCGTATCCAGCACGAATTCTTGCTTCTGGATGTTTATCTTCTAGAATCATCATGCTCACGTCGTGAGCCTTCACACCTCACGTCGTGAGAACATTTTTTTAGCTGAAATCTTTATCTTTTAAGCTTGTAACCTCCAAAGTTCCAATCCTTGTCGCTTTCAGTCCTTATTCTTCAAGATGACTTCTTCTGGATGCAAAATGTAATTTAATCTTATAAGTACCATTTATCTATGCAAATAACCAAAATGTTAATCAAAATGTATTCAAATATTGCCTAAAATTATGTATAAATATGGCAATATCACTTATAGTAGTTGATGATAAGTTGGAAATCATCAAGCTTTAACTTTTAATGATTATGATATAATCACCTATGTGAGAGAGAAGTAGGGTCGCTTCAATGGGAATTGAACGGGCAAGTTCCTAAGAGCTCTTACAAAACCAGACAAGTGTCCATGATCATAACGGGCACATCAAATGAGAACCTAACTAGGCCAGGGAGAATCATGCGAGAAATGTATTGATCATTTACACAAATAGAGGAATAGTTCAAGGAAATCGAGTCTACTAGTCTACTAGTAAAATAAATATAGATCTTAAGGGAAGGTTCAAAGGGTAACACCTATCATATGCATGATTTAACTGCTAGATATTATATAAGCAGCTTGAAATTGTTAAAGCAATTTTCATTCATGTGGGGGATTGTTGGAAAATTAGTTTACTGATTTCCAAAATTGGGTTTTTCCCATTTTTTAGCATGAATTTTGGACTAAAATATAATCAAAACGGATTAATTATTATATATTTGTGTTCTCCTCCGTGATATCTTTATTTCGATATATCACAAGTCCAAAACGGATAAAAAATAAATGGGAAATTACTTGTCAAAAACAGGGTAGTTGGAAGAGAATAATAAACGAGTTAAGTGTGTTTTAACTCATCCCACATTGGTGGGAGAAAGAAAAGAAAATTTGTTTATAACCATAAAAACTAGCTACCTTTGTAAGACTTATAGAAACTAAGACTCTCTCTTGCGTGCACGCATGGGGATGCAAATGCGAGCCAGTTTGGCTTGGGTTCACTGAACTTGTGTGCGAGAGCACGTCCTGTGGGTACGAATGCACCACCGTTCGAACAGAAAAGTTCAAAGACCTGTTTGTAATTATTTCTTTTTCAGTTAACAGTTACAAAACAAATTAAGAGCCATTAATCATAGATTTCAGTTTTTGATTTCTTGATTAGTTGTCTTATTTAATTGTGACAGTTATGATTTTGTTTTAATTACATCAGTTACATTGTGTAGTATAAGTACAACGCTTATGCGACTGATTGAAACACACCGAATGAAACGAAATACTACTCTTCCTCTCTTACGCTTCTGCTTCATCTTCCATCTCTTGCTGCAACCACGGTATAATCCGACTAAGTGAGGGTTCGGACAATCTAGAAGAATTGCTTTCTACTGTTGTATCATGGGAAACAAACATCCATATAGGGCGAATTTGTTTTAAGGAAATCGTGTCAAATACAGACCTCAATAACAATTTATTGTTTCGTCTTTCGTGCAGATCTCGGGGCTATATTTTTCCTAACATTATTGTAGGTTGAAAACCCTATGTACTCACCAGGTTTCCCAACCTGACCCACTCAGCTTCTTTGTATCACAGGTAGAGATACAAAGATACACGTACGATGAGAGATTCAAGGAGATGTAGACTATTAGTCTAAGAAACTGTAAGGTCTGCTTATGCTTATGTTTTGTATCAATGATGACATCCCACACTTTTTATAAATTAATGAAAAACATTTCTTCGAAAATACTTTTTATGGGACAAATTTCGCATTTATAAATGAACTCTGTTTTAAATAAGCATAAATAAAAGGTTTTAAAATGGTCGTAAAAATAGGGATGTCACATAATAAATTAACAAATCATTATATCTCTCTCTCCTAAATTCATTTATAGTTATTTATAGATTTTGAAGGCAACCCAAAAAGGATTTTACTTTTATTTCATAAAGTTATATCAATTTAGTCATGATCTTGACCAATTTAGTTATGACCTTTGATATTTATTCCAACAAATAAACAACCGCGGACAACAATCTCCTTGCCCACTACCGCCGCCGACCAACTTCTTACCAGGGCCACCGACGACCTCCTTCTCATCTACATCATATAGAAACACCGCTGAAACTATCGATGAGGCATTCACTGAAACCACCGATGATTCTCCGATGATGTAGAAAATTTCACAATGCGTTTTACAGAAAACTATTGATACAACATGTGTTGCTTCCATTGCAATCGGTAAAGCTTCAAACATGCCATTCCAACAAACTAGATTCAAACCCGACACCAGACCCACCACGACATCTCCTTCCATTACTCCGCCTCCACCGTGGCTGTTTCCCAAGCTTCGACTATTTCTTGCCATACTAATCAAAACTGGAAAATTGATGTCATCTGGTTTCTTTTGGCTAAGATTGGTTTGATTTCCTTTGTGTTTTTTAATTTACGCTTAGATGCTGAGAGCCTGAGATTGGTTTTGATGTTTTAGTTACGATTTTGTGTTCGTCTTAGATGTTGAGATTGGTTTTAATTCCTTGTTTACAATTATGTCTTCTTTAATTTCTTCTCAAATAGGTTCTGAGTAGCTAAGATTGGTTGCACCCAAGGTTAGATCCGATATTGGACAAGCTTTAACGATGGTGGAGATTCTCTGGTTCCGACGAAGAAGAGGCTTTTGACACCGATTTTGCTGCTGAAGGCTCGCTAGTTCCATTTGATCATTTAGTCACCGGAGGTGAAGACAAGGGGGTGAGGGTGGGGCCATTTTAATTTTTTAAATCTTATTAATGGATATATAACAAATAAATTAAAAAAAATTGATAAGGGCAATATAGTAATTTTAGGTGTGGTATGGACTATATGCGAAACAAAACAAAACTATAAGAATGATTCGAGCTAAAATAATAAATTAGGGACCAAATGCATAAGTTACCACAAACCGACTAAGATTTACTCAATAATATAAAGAGTAAATTACACAAATGGTCCCTATGGTTCGGGGTAATTTGTATGTTTGGTCCCTAACTTATTTTTTTAACTCGAAAGATCCTTAGAGTTTGTTTTTGTTGCGTGCTTGGTCCCTGTCTTTCTTAAAAAAACTATTTTGCTCTTGAATTTTTACTTTATTTAAATAAAATGGGGTAGGTAAGATAAGTTAAAGTGAGGTGGAAGTGGGGTTGGGGTGTGTTTATTTAAATAAATTAAAAAAATCAAGAGCAAAATAGTCTTTTTAGATAAGATAGGGACCAAAAGTGCAACAAAAACAAACTGTAGGGACCTTTTGAGTTAAAAAATTAAATTAGAAACCAACGTGCAAATTACCCTAAACCATAGGTTCATACTCTACTATAAAAATAAAGTAATTACAGCTGTTTTATGGGGATTGCATACGCTATTTTCTCGGGATCCTCTGAAAAAGCAAGCAGCATCGAGTTACCTGCAGCTTTTCTAGCTTGTTGGAGAAGCTACCTCTGAAAGCGGATTTCATCACTGATTTCATTCCGATTTCATCTTTGGTAAACAGTAGAAATCAAGTTGCTAATACCTACTTTGTAATTTTTGCTCAAATATCACTCAAAACGATTTGCGTTTTCATTTGTTGTCGTTTATTCTAGGTTTATTTTTACAATGATACACACATTAGTGCGTGAAATCAAGGAGTTTTACTTCTTGGTGCATTTCATTACTCCCTTAGTTTCTGTACTTAATCCGTCGTCGTTCACCTCCCACATACGAAGAAGGAAACCCTTAAAAGCTAAGGTGTTGTTTGTTTTGGAAGTGGTTAAATGTTTTTTGTCTTTTTTCATGTTTGCAGAAGAAGACGTGCACTTTTGTAGAGACGTTTATCCACCAGAATGGAAAAGTGCTCAAAAACTACTTTTGTAGAAAAACAAACGAGGCCCTAAATGATTCTCATTATGCATGACTTACTTGTACTGTACAACTAAAATATACATGATTTGATCCGTTTCGGGATATTCGTGTGGAGTCCTGGATTTTGTTCAATATATTAACATTATTTATATTGGTTGATGGAAGATATGCAATGTAATGCTTTGTGCATTGATCACTTGTACCATATAATCGAGCAATGCTTTATGAGGACAATTTTAGGTTATTCTATCTTGAGCCCTAGATTTGATGAGGAGCTAACTATGGGATTTCCATGTAATGTTGCTTCATATTAGGAGAGGGAGTTGTGTAATCTTGTTGTTTTGTTGAAGGATATTTTATTATTTCATCGATAAAGATCTGATATGGACTCCAATCTTTTTAACAGATTATTATCTGCTGCAGCCTGCAGAGTCGTATATCCTGAATCTTTTGGACAAATGGTAAGTTGGTGCTATTAGTAATTTGCTGTTAGATGATTATATTCAAAGCCTTTCAACAGAAATTTAATAGCAAGAAATGTTCTTCATTAGCTGTTTGGTGGGCCCTATCAAACTTGGAATTTATGCAAAAATTCATCTCTATGCAGGATGACAATTCTTCTTCTGTAGGAAGTGACAACATTGATTGGAATACTGATGATGAGCTGGAGATAACTAATGAGCAGGAGATAGCTAATAATATATCATCATCTTCCTCAGTTTCTATGAGTACTAATGGAACTGTTTTATCCGAATTCGGGGAGGTAGTTTACAATTAATTACACATAAATAACAACACCGGGTCCCACATAATGCCACATGGGATGTTATGATAAAATGTGATTCCAAAATAGCCCTTTTGGGCCTAGTGTACGTAGTGGGTTATAGAAATGTTACACTAATCTCTTTTATTTGGTTGCTGCAGTCAAGTTCTTCTAGCAATTATCTTTCCAAGCTACATCGCTTTATAAAAATGGGGTTTCCTCAGGCAATGGTGGAAAAAGTCATAGCTGAAATTGGTAATAATTCATCTTTGAATTTTTTCTATGATCATATCATATATCTAGTTTTGTTTCATTTCCAGGTGATCATGATATTGATGCAATACTAGATACATTACTCTCATACACTGTAAGTTCTCCATATGTTATTTAGCCATTTGCTTACATGAAAGGAAAAGAACAAAAGAGGGCAAATTTGTAAAAAAAGTTGACTCTCTATTAACTCGTTCTTATACATCAAGCCATAAAGAAACTACAACACTTAAGAGAAACTTTGCTCATGTTTTGTATCTTATTATTTATATCAACCTTTCTTTATATCAAAGAAATGTATTGTTTCTAATTGAAAGTGTTGCAGTATCTTGATGAGACTCCCCACCAAGAACAAGAACTCAATGATTCATTTGTGAAGTCTGAAAGCATTTTTGAAAGTGACTTCTCTGATCTTGATGACAGTTGTAGTGATGTAAGTCCTGCTTTTGTCTTGTATAAATAAATTATGAAGTAAATTCATATGCATACAATTAAATTTGATTAATGTTTGTTATATAAAGCACCAAAATGGTGTTTGTTTTTCTTTCTTTCACGTATTAAATGGAAAGTATGGAAAACAACAATTATCATATTTTCAAGTTATATGAAATTTAGAAAATTGGAAAATTATTTTTTCTTAGAATTTTTCTGGAAAAAAATACTGAACAAAACATGTTTTCTAACTTTTCATTTATCCTAGAGTTTTTTTATGGAAAACTAGAAAATGTGTTTACTTTGGTTGTGGAAAACTGTTTTCAATTTTCTTGGAAAAGTTTTTAGAAAAAGTAGTGGAGTTTTCATTTTCAGTTTTCTAGTAGAAAATTTAGAAAACACGGTTGGTAAAAACTGAATGAGTTTTGATTTTCCATTTTAGAAAATTAGAAAACGTCTTTGGATATGTATTTTCTATCGGTTTTCATTTTCCAAATTTTGTTATTTCAAATAATACAATATTTAACATAAATACTATTTAGCAAATGTTGTGCACTGTTCTTAAGGGTACATTACACTACAGTTCTCTAATGCAAAAGTTATAGAAATGGTCCCTGTGTTATTAATTTTCAGAATTACAGAATTGGTCCCTGTGTCCTTGCATTTTGCATAAAATAGACAAAATTACAGAAACGGTCTTTGTGTAATAGCAGGAAATTTAAAAATTACAGAAACAGTCCCCGTGTAATAATAAAGTTACAGAAATGATCATTGTTTCCTTACATTTTGCAGGAAATAATATATTGTATTAGTTTATTCGGTCAAAAATAACTTTCTGTAAAAAAAATACACAAGGACATTTTCTGTAAATTATGGGGACAATTTTTGTAATTTATTTTCTACACAGGGGTCAAACCTGCCAACATATAAAAATCTTAGACATATGGACTGTTTTTGTAAAAAAAGAAACTTTACAGGGACCTTTTCTGTAAATTAAAAAAATTACAGGGACTAAATCTGCCAAAATCTCAAACTTTTGTGGCAAAACTCCAAAAGTGGAAGACATTACTGTTCATAAGGCCATTGCTTTTTATTATATAGAGTAATTTTTTCTAGAAAATTAGAAAGTTTTCCTCAACCAAACGCACCCTTAGCTCATGTAGTTTTAGGTTAATCTTATTGGCCTTGTTTATATGGTGTTATGATTGGGTAGATTATTCAAAGTACAATGCTTTAATAAGAAGATATAGCAAGAACAATGCTATAATACACAGAAATGAATATGTTTAAATATTTATTAAATATTTTTTTTTTTCAAAAGACAATTATATTATGTCACTCGCTTCCTTCGTGTTTTACAGGAAGACACTAATGAATCTTTCGAAAAGGATGATTCGTTGGTGTGTCTAATTGATATGGGGTACTCACATGGAGAAGCTTCAGCTGCTATTACCAGATGTGGTGTGTGTACTTACTACTTACTCTTCTCAAAAAATAAAATTATATGCAACACTTTTAATTCATGACCTTAAAATGAAAATTTTATCAAATTTGTAGGAAAAGATGTGCCATTATCAGAGCTAGTAGATTTCATTAGTGCTGCTCACATATCAAAACAAGCCGATGCAGAATTCGATGCATTGACATACGAAGAGGAAGTCTTAAAACAGCCAAAGGACAAGAAGAGAAAGTCTCAAAAAGGGAATTTCTTGATGAAAAAGAAAACGATTGAAAAAAAACCAAAAAGAAAAAGAAAGAATGAAGATGAAGATGATGACGTCCTTCACCTTCCTAATCCAATGATAGGATTTGGGGTCCCACACGAACCATTTCACAATATTCACAGAACGCTTCCCGATGCAGCCATTGGCCCTCCGTATTTTTACTATGAAAATGTTGCTCTTACACCAAAAGGTGTTTGGAATACAATCAAACGTTTCCTTTACGAAATTGAACCCGAATTTGTGGATTCAAAATTCTTCTGTGCAGCAGCTAGAAAACGAGGTTACATCCATAACCTTCCTTTAACCAACAGATTCCCAATTCAACCGCTTCCCCCTCGCACAATTTTCGAAGCTCTCCCTGGAACTAAAAAATGGTGGCCTTCATGGGACAAAAGAGAACAATTGAATTGCATACTTACATGTATAGGAAGTGCCCAACTTACGGATCGTATCAGATTAGCTTTAGAGAATTCGAATTCAAAAGGCGAGTGTGAGTGTGAGCCTTCTGAACAAGTGAAGAAATTCGTTATCAATCAATGCAAGAAATGGAACATGGTTTGGACAGGAAAGACGAAGGTGGCGCCACTTGAGCCTGATGAGATTGAGTTAATCATGGGGTACCCTATCTACCATACAAGAGGTGCAAACAGAGCCGAAAGATACAAAGGCCTCGGGAATGCATTTCAGGTTAACATATTTTAAAATTATAATTTGAGAAATGTAGATATTTAGCCTTCTGAAATCATTTGTCAAGAAATAGCCAAAAAGTAAAAAAAAAATACACAAAATGAAATCGTAGATGGGCCTTCACAGGCTGCAATTTTGTCATTTCAGCTTGGATCTCATCAAAAGTATAAAAAATAAATCGATCCTTGTCATTTTTAACTGAGATTGTACATGTCTCTAATGTATAAGATTGTGCATTAAACACTTGTACAATCTCACTTAAGGAGAGGAAATCTCATATGAGATTTTGGAGAGGAAATCAATAGCCGATGACACCTGCGATTTCATCGTACAAAAGTGACAAAAATTGATTTTTTTTATACTTTTGACGAAATCACAGCCCGTGAAGGCCCATCTGCGATTTCATTGGCCATTCGGGTTCTTTCTTAATTTTTTTTGGCTATCTTGTCTTTTTCTATTATAATTTTTGTAATCATCTATAAAATGATAATAATTATGAATTTGTTATAATCAGGTTGATACGGTTGCTTACCATCTGTCTGTGCTAAAGAATTTGTACCCACACGGAACAAACGTTCTTTCGCTTTTCTCCGGGATTGGTGGGGCCGAAGTTGCACTACACAGACTCGGGATTCCAATGAAGAATGTGGTTTCTGTTGAGAAATCTGTAGTTTGTCAGAATATTCTTCAGGATTGGTGGGAACAAACAAACCAAACTGGAAATTTAATTCACATTTCAGATGTTGAAGATGTGACAGTTGAGAAGTTAGGGGAGTGGATTGGGCGTTTTGGAGGGTTTGATCTTGTGATTGGAGGGAGTCCTTGTAACAATCTTGCTGGTGGAAATAGGAGGACACGTGATGGACTTGAAGGGGAACACTCTTCGCTTTTCTATGACTATTTTCGTATTCTTGATGGGGTTAAGTCTATTATGGGTACAAATTAATATCTTTGTTTTTGGATATAAACAATTCCCCACCATTGTGTTCTCATTTATTAGCGTTGAATGTAAATGGTGAAAGCTAACGAAACCTCAGGATTCACGTTACAAATGTCCTTTTCAAGGAAATCTATTGTTTAACATTTTTGGTAGAATGGAAATATTATATTTGACTTTTGTTTGTTTTGTCTGTTATATTTATCTCGGTTTTGTCTATTATGATAGAATGGAAACAATATATTTTAAAGAAAAATGGTGAATTTGAAATTGAGAAATCCAAAACCATATATAACCATCAAAGTATAGCTTACATGTTTTAATAACATACTCTTATGTAGAATGGAGTTATAAGATCATATTTAATGGGAGGTTTTATTATAACTAATTATTATTTGTTTGACCATCTCTTTGTCATCCAACACAATTGAAATGGAAAGCTTTTTTTTATTTTTTTTATTTTTTTTATGGGAAGTGATATATCCACTTCTGTATTTTATTCTTCCACTTATATAAAAAGTAGTTTCCCTTTTATACACTTTCTTTTAATCATTAAAAATATAAGAAAAACAATATTCTCTAATTACCAAATATAAATAAAGAAATAATAGGCATGTTTGTTATTTTCTTTTTCCTTTTCTGTTTTCTTAATTTATCAATTGCTTATGTGTTTTTTTTACGTATAAAAATTAATTTTCTTTTGTAATATTTATCACTTTATAAAGTCAATACTAATTTTCATCGTCACATAGATAATGAATATTTAAACCTGCTCTATCATGTAAAATATAAATAAATATTGTTCGTTTCTAACCATTTATCTTTATTTTAGTGCCAATCATTGTTATTAATCCCATATCAATTTTTATGGCACAAACTTGGTTCATAAAAAAAAATTATTAAACACATGCACTACATCATAAAAGAAACACTAAAATGAAAAATAATGTTAAAAGAAACTTGTCCAACCAAAATATTCAAATCAAAATAATGTCAAAAAAAATGACGACAAAGAAACATTCACCCTATACTAGTTGCATATCATCACTTAAAAAGTTGGATATGCATTTAAATCAAATAAGTCGTTTCTAGACACTTCATTGTTCGTTTGAAATGCAGAAGTAGAACTCAAATGATTGTGTGTTTGTGATGATTCCACAAGCTCAAATCTTGAAGGGTTTCGTGTGGTTGAACTTATTCCTTTTTTTTTTCTTTTGGAGGTCTACCCTTTGGTCGACGAATCACAGGCTCAAAGAATGTATCAGATTCAGTCAAAAGTTTAGTAATGATTGAAGTAGCAAATTCTTTCTTAGAGGCCACATTTGGTATTTTGAAGACAACTCACTAAGCAACTTATCAAATTCATTGGCGACATCATTGTGTGAATTATCTTCTAAATCCAGACGCAATGTATCAATCCTCCAATGTGGGTGAATGAGATCCAATGAAAGTGGCACTCCTTGCAAACGATTTATCTTGTGAGCACAAGGAAGACCCATGGTTGCCATAAAATGACCAATGCAATGATTCATTGTACCTGAAAAAAACCAAATAGTTAATGTAAAAGGTAATGTTTTATAACAATTTAAAGTACAGTCTTGGTAATATTACCATTTTTCATTTTTTCATATTGCATGTGTATCTCATTTAGTGCAAAATGAGATACATGATACAAAAGCTCTCTAAAAGAAGGCACATTACACTTAAGAAGAACTTGAATTCTTTCACTTGCGAGTTTCACTTTAATCTCGTTGAATTCATGTGTAACCGCAAGACAAATTTTTTCTTTAACTTCTTGAAAGCCATCGGTAGATACTTGCAGATACAACTTGAGTTTAGCATGAGCGCCTTCAACCCTTGAAGATGAACGATTACCAAAATGCAAGCAATTGTTTGTCCATGCACTAACAAACTTTTCTTTCCACGGTAACCATGTGTTTCTTATATACTCAAGTGCAACTTTTTTCGTCTGATACAACAACTCAAATTCAGCCCAATTATTCTCAAAAATAGTTGGTGTAATTGAATATGCTACATTTGTCCAACTTGACATAAAATTATTAAACTCATCACCATGTTCAAATTGCTTCTTGCAAATTGCTAACACGTTCTTTTCGATATGCCAAGTACACAAACGATTTATTGTGTTGTACCATCTTTATGTCATTCATTAATGCCAACTCTCTATCAGTCATAATAACGGGTCACAATTTTCAAGAATCTTCTGAAATGCACTTAATGCCCAAATATAACTATCTTCGTCCTCTTTCTCCAAAAAAGCAAACCCAGAATAAAATGAGGTATTAAAGCATGAAACACCAATGATGTCAAGGAGAGGCATGTGATATTTGTTTGTTTTGTATGTGCAATCCATCACAAAGATCGTTGAGAAGATTTTGGCCAATTTAATTGACAAAGGATGTGCGATGAACAAATGGGTTATATGCCCTACTGTATTATATAAAATATCATAAATAAAACCCTCTTTTTCAAGCTCTTCAAATAAGGCACTAACCATTGATCGATTTTGCAACTTTTCCTTACGGAGTTTTGCCTTTAGGTTGTATCGGAAGGTTTTCGTTTCTCTGACGCAAAGAAGAAAGAATTTGCCTTGGGGGTATGCTAGAAAGCGACATGTTTTTGACACTTTGTACGTCATCTAATGATAATCGACGGAATGATGGATGCCCAGACATATTAGTAGATGGTTCATGGTTATGAGTCAAGTGTTTTGCATTAACTACCTAAGAACCGTCAATTCCTTTTTTACCTACAATCTGGAAGGGGCATTTGATCAAACGAGATCCGGTGTTCCTCTTTCTTTTATCACCAATACACAATCTATCTTGATAGGAACCGCCCGGTCACATTGCAACTTGACATATTTGTCTTTACTTGAATCTCGAATAGATAATGCATATCCTTTAGCATAATAAAAGTTCCGTACACTCTTTAGCAATTCATCATATGATTCAAACTTGGAGTTAGCTAAATATAGTTCTTCATTTCCGATCATAGGACTTGATGAATCCATTTCAATGATGCCTAAAGCATAATATAAAACATAAATCAAGTTACTAGTTAGTGTATTGTAATGGTGCCTATAGCATAATATAAAACATAAATCAGGTTACTAGTTAGAGTATTGTAATGGTGCCGATAGCATAATATAAAACATAAATCAATGAGTTTGAATCCTTTTTCTTGGTTATGGGTTTATAGAAAATATCATGGGCTTGCAAAATTAGTAGTTAGTGCACCGAAATGGTGTCTATGACAGAATATAAAACATAAATAAAATAGGTTATTATACATTTAATCTTCTTTGGCATTAATTATACTTTTCGAAGGAAGACTTTTACTTGTTTATATAACAGTAAAACAATTATCAAAACATGAAACAAATTTGCAATATTTTATAGTAATTATGATGACATACATATTCATATAGTAATGAGATTCTTTTTGAGTAAGCCTTGAAGGTCTAGTAGCTAAGCATAACACGTGCACCAATTTTATAACCTAAACCTTAATCTTAGTAAAATCCCATTTTGAAAAATCAATGTTTTAATGCAATACTATCACCAAGTATAGATACCAATGAATGTACAGTGAAAAACTTATGAAAGCCTTACGAACTGTCGATAAAAACAAACATAATATAATATACACTTAAGAACCCTAATATAATCAAATAAAACCAATATTATAATATAATTAATACCTGTAAATTGCTTAGTTTATTACAGATTCAACCTCTTCGATACCGGCAACCGGCGACCGACGAAAACAAAGAAACAACGTTTCTTGAATGACAACTAAGGAGGACAATAAGTCATTGTTTGGAAAGAAGAATCACGTTGACATTGTTGGGATTTTTATCTCTATTTAATATATATTTTTCAAAATTTTAAATAAGGGCATATATGTCAAAAGAATTACTTTTTAAGTGGATGGATAAAAAAGAGAAGTTGATATATACCTTCCTTTTTTTATTGGTCATTTAATATATTTTGACTGATCAATTTAGCTTGGGTTTTGTATATTTCTAATATCTTCTCGCTTAATAATATTTTATATTCTTCTTTAATTATATTTAATTTTTTAAAATTAGTTTTTTACTAAAAATTATTTTATTAAATATATGATCATATTTTAATTATGAAATATTAATTTTATAATGATTATATAATATTTTTCATGTTTTATTTTTATGATTGTAACAATTCTTTTTTATATTTTAAATTAATACCTGATGTAGTTGTGCTTAAATATTAATGTCTAGTAATACTTCTTATTAAATTATTTTGTAATTTTTAAAACGGCTAACATATACACACTCGTCTCGTTAAATACTACTCATAAATTTATACATTTTGAACATATTTTAGACAACATTTTTTATATATAATTATTGTTTATTTTTTTATTTTGGGTTAGTAATTATAAAAGACATAGTATTTCTTGATTTTTTTTTCATTAAACCTAATTTTTTATTTAAAAAAGCCTCACGTTAAAAAAAAAAACTTTTGACTCTTTTAGCAGGTATACCAGTGACCTTTCGATAATTGAAAAAAAATCTAACATTTTTTCCTAGAAAAGTTGTCTTGATCTTGTTCATGCTTTTGTTTATGGCTTTCTTGTGCTTGTTCATGTTGCTGGTTTGATTCATAAACATCTATTTAGATTCGTATTTTCTTGTTCCTATTGTTGCTTATTGTTCTTGGTGTTTTGGCTTATAATTTGCATATTTTTGTTTGTGTTGCTTGTGATGTTAAATGTGATTTGATCATAATAATCTCATTATATTTCTTTGAAAATCATAATTTTTCATTCAGTAGTCATATATCAATAATAGCATGGTCAACAATTTCCTTAAGTAATGTATTATTTAATTTTCAAATCAACATATGTAAAACCTTAATTAGCAAAAGTATAATATCTACTTCTCAAATTAGCATATGCAAAACATGTTGTCTCCAATGTTGTAAACGTATAATCATTAGTTATACAGTTTTATGCAAGTTAATAAACTTAAAACCTTTTGTCTCCAAATAAAGTAACATCACATTTTTTGACCTACCAAATAAAATAACAACTTT